CATTGCAGTTTTGGTAATGCATTCTTCCCCTCTCCCCCCAGGACTGTTGGAACAAGTCACATCTTGACTTCTGAGATTGTCCCACTGTGGCCTCTCCTTCAGAATGACCACAGGTATATTTAACGTAGACTTGCAGACTTATTTTTCATGAATTTGAAGGTCGCCTGAGGCGGTGGGCGTGGCCCTGTGTCTGGAGAACCTACATGCTGCCTCATTGCCTCCTTGGGACTTGGGGAATCCAGACAGATCACTGATGGTGGCAGGCTCCGGGAAAGGCTGCCACTGTGTGTGTTACTCCGTCTTCTGACCTGTCATGGCTGTAGCATTTATGCAGCATCTCCTTGCTCCCCAGAAAACACATCTTGGCAAAACAAGAGAACAATCTGGGATCTTTCGGTATCTGTAATTTTTTTGGAAAATGATTTCTGGCATTCGCCTCCATTGTGTAAGTCTAGGAATCATCTCTAAACAGAGGAATGCTTCTTTCCTTAGGAACCCCTTCAAACAATGCATGTGTATTAAGAATTAAACAACTGCATTGTTAATGAAATGAAGAGCTAAATTTCAATGAAGAGGTGGCTTTTTGGGAGTTAGAACCATGTCTGTTATTGCACATGCTTTTCTGCTCACAAGCGTACAAGATAATGCAGTTGATGAAAAATGTTAAGCTTAAGATAGATATTTATACACACATGTAGTTAAAAATGGTAGGTTGACAAACCGGGGCTGCATGCTTTTTACATTTTTAAAGGGTTGTAAAAAAAAAGAGAGAATATGCGTCAGAGACCATATGGCACACAGGGCCTAAAATATTTACTATCTGGCCCTTTATAGAAAATGTTTGCTGACCCTTGAACCATGTGGAAAGCACCAGTAATAGATCTCACTCTTTTTTTTTTTCACTTTCCCCAAGAAGCACATTGTCTTCTTTCCTTGGTGATATTCATTTCTACTTGTAAAGTCAGTGTTCACAGCCATTCTAAAAAGAGAAGGAGAAACCTTCCAGAGCCGAATCTGTCCCAGGATCTGCCCCCAGCCAGCTCTGTGGAGTCAGAGCCCTTCCACCCCCAGCCCGTGTTCGCGCTGTTGCTTCACCCGCAGATGGCCCCTCGGCGTCTGCTTCCACCAGTCTGCTGCGTGCCTTCTTCGACCTTGGCTTTTTGGCCACATGATTATTCCATTTTAATTGCTCTTGTGAATCTGCTCTGTTACATTGCCCCCCCACCCCCACAGTTTTCGCCCTCCAAAGCCCCTCTTCTGTGACCCCTTTGTCTGCCTTCTCCCCTAGAGTCTCAGGCCTTTAAAGACAGATGCTTTCCAAATCTAATATTTCTACCCCTATCTTTTTTTTTTCTTTTAAGATTTTATTTATCTATTTGAGAGAGAGAAAGAAAGAGAGAGAGCAAGCACTGGGGAGAGGAAGAAGCAGGCTCCTACCTGGCAGGGAACCGGGGGTGGGGCTTGATCTCAGGACCCAGGGATCATGACCTGAGCCAGGCAGATGGTTAACCTGCTGAGCCACCTAGGTGCCCCCTACCCTGTGCAGGCTTAGTTTTCTCACTGGTTACAAAGTGGGTCCAGTTTTCCCCTGCAACAGACTGTAGCAGAGAGGACTTCTGGTGTCTTCCAGAACTAGACCAGCAGAACCATGTTAGTGAGCAGTATGGCTACTCTTTTGGGGCACTGGTCACACGCACCCTTATTTGTGTTCACTTGGTGTCCACATCACCTAGTGTAATTTCTTTCCCATGGACCTTCTGGCCTCTTGCCTTCACTTACAACTGTGACAATTTCTCATGTCTGCCATGTTGACCAGGCCACTCCAATGGTCCCTGATGCCTGTGGGATCCAGCACACATATCTAACCAGAGCTATCACAGCCCTCAAGCATCGGGTACATACTTTTCGATATCCTAGTCCAGCTTGCTGAATCCCTCCCTCTCCTGCCTGTGGCTATCCTTCTACTCAAAACACATTGATCAAATGCTGACTCCATTCCAGGTACTATATCGTAGGCACTGGGAATCAGGGATGACCAAGATGCAGCCTAGTTCAGTAAATTTTTTTTTTTGACAGGTGAAAGATGGTATGCACAAACATGAATATAGAGCAAAGCAGCAGGTGGTGATTGACAAAGTTATTAAATATCAAGAAAGCACAGAACATATTTGGAACTAAGCTGTATAACCATAAATATTCCAAATTACTTAATGGGACTATTACAAAATCTGACAAATCATCCACTTAAAAAATTTAATTCTGTTTTTAAGTTTCCCTTAAAAATATGGCTTAAGGATCAAACTTCTGGTAAATTTTTCTGAGTGATTTACTCCTTCTCTAACTCATGATCTCATTTGCTGATACACTATCTTGCCTCCAGCCATGTCTGTAAACATTAAAGTTCTACAAATAAATGCAGTCTTTTGATTATAGTGCAAAAGACAACATTCTGCTTTGTAAACACTCCTGCTTCTTATTGGAAACTGGAAGGAGTCCTCATGCTATTCCCCAAGTGCACAGAATGCATGGTGGCTTAAACTGAAGTGTGTTAGTTGGTCCAGGTTGATACATAGCTTTATTTATTAGAATAGGCTTTGAGACGGGATCACTCAATTACAATAGGGTCTTTTCAAATAACTGCATCTCAGCATCTTTCCCCCTTTCATTTCCTTCTTTCTTCTCATTTGTTGTACACCTCCCTTTCTCCAGCCCTTTTTCAAGATTATATCATTATATCATATATAAGTTGGGAAAACCTAACCAGGGCATGCTTGCCTTGAGACACCCCCAAGAACACTGACCTACAGGTAGGAACTATAGGGGGATGGGAGTGTTTACCAGCTTGCTCCAGTGTGACTCCTGCTATAGCGCATCACAGACTTTTTGTTTATTCATTCATGCTATGCTTTCTGAGAGCCTTCTCTGGGCCACAAACACTATGCTAAGGACACAATATTGAGTCAAAGAGAACATTATTGCTTCCCCTGCTTGGGGGAAGTAGCATCAGTTACAAGTTTACATTAATAAGTGTATGATAATTAATATCGTAGCTCTGATACAGAGAGGAGGAGCTAATGTTAGTGTTTAACCCCTTATCAGCTCTGTGATCTTTGATTTCTGTATGTGTGTCTGCCTTTCTTCCTCTCTCCTGCTATCTCTCTTCCCCTCTCCTTCTGTCTTCCTTCTTTGTTAAGTGGGGATTGTTGGGGTGGAAAAAATTTTCTGTATGCTTTAAAGGTTCTTCTGGATGGTGAAAAGTTAAATTGACATGAGACATTAAAAGAGAAAAATTAATTTCATACATACAAGAACTCCACATACATGAAAATTCTAAAGACCGAAAGGTAAAATGAGATATATTTGCTCTCCTGAGCTAAGGAATGGGATAGGTGCTGGGGGCTTCGGAGGGGAGGACTGCAATTCACAGGGCAATAAGAATAAGAGCTGATGATTGGTAATTAGATATTCACTGCCCTACAGAGGGTCACTCAGAAAAAAGTTATCCCTGGTAATAACTCATTCTGGGAAAGACCACCAATTTAAATTCTTTTAGGTAGTTAAGGGAGGGGCAAAGTTTTCTCTTGAGTCCACAGGGTTTCCAACATAGTCACATGGCACATTTTGGGAAGAATTGTACTGAACGTCTTTGGGGCGGAGAATAAGGCTAACAGCACTGAGCCCTGTCATCACTATGGTGCTTTATACTCTTATTTTTCCTTTTAATTGAGGAATTCTGGATCTCCCACAGTAGGTGTTATAATCTCCATTTTAAACAAATAATGGAGTAAGACAACGTTGTTATTAATTGTTCTCATTGGATGGGTGAATAAACGAATGCTTGCATTGTGGGAGCTTGGGAACAGAAATATGTCACAGGCCCTAATTTGAAACCAGCCGTCGGATTTAGTGGCTGCTAACCTACGCAACTCAGGGATTCTCCCTTTACTTTTTTTTTTTTTTTTTAATTAAAGAGCAGCAAGAGAAAAATCTCCCCCCTTTTTTTCAGAAGTCAGGACTAGATCTCAAAATTTCAAATGTGTCCCCTCCAGTGCATGCCCGCCCACGTGGTTGAAAACCGATGGCTTTGCCCAACTAGATGCCACAGACGCTTAGCTTCTAATCTTGCATTTCTTGCTCCCAGATTTTCCAGATCTTCCCCAATACACCCAGTTATGCTTTCTGAAGTGTCGAGCCAACATTTTCTGGTTTCTTCGGCTTTCCGCAAAGCCCCGGGGCCTGGGCACTGGGGCCAGAGGCCGGGGTGGAGCCCCCCAGCTCCGGGGCTCCCCGCGCCCGCCTGCAGCCCCCGCGCCTGGCAGCCCCCGCTTCACTCGCCGGGAGGGAGGGCGCCACCAGGAGGACCCGCGCTATTTTTACCTCCTTGGCCGCAATCCTTTATATTTATTTGGAGAGAGGAAATAAACAGAGGATTAGGGAGGAAATGCTTGGCCTCGGTGTCTCCCGGGGAAAGAGGGGGTCGGAATAGGACGAAGGGAAATTTGGAAGATTTGGGCTGGAGGACGAGGCAGGTGCATCTCTCTGGGAGCTTCTTTTCTCCAGATGACCGTGGTCTGTGGCCTGGAGACCCCGTCACGATTCTTTCCTCCCCGCCGGCTAACGATCCCCGGCTGCCGGCCTTCGCGCTGTCTGCCCCCACCTCCGAAGGCGCCGCCGTCACCCCGAGGCCGCCGGGGATGCTGCATCACTCCGCTGCCCCCCGCCCCCCGCCCCTTGCCTCCGCGGCGACGCATGCGCAGTGCGCCCCGTGCCGGGCACTAGCCACAGCGTCGGGATCGGCGTCGGCGGCAGCATCAGGACCCGCGGGCGCGCTCTCGAGGGCGGGGCGCCCCCCCCCCGCCGCGCGCCCCCGCGCCCCGCGCCCCGCGCCCCGCGCCCCCGCGCCGCGCGCTCGCCCGCGCCGTCTCGGCATCCTCAGCCCCGGCGGCAGCCCCCGCAGCTGCTGGAGCGGCCGCGCCCGCCGCAGGGAGGGAGGAGCAACTGGGGCGGCTCCAAGTTGGCGGAGCCACCGGGACCCCCGGACTCCTCCGCGGCCGCCCGGGAGGGGCGGAGAGGCGAGCAGGGGAGGGGGAGCCGCCCGGCCGCCGGTGCCGCGCCCCAGCCCCTGCCCCTGCCCCTGCCCGCGGCCGCACCATGCGCGCCCCGCCGGCGTGATCGGCCCCGCCCGCAGCCTCCCCGCAGCCTCCCCCGGCGCTCTCGCCGGCCACACCGAGCGGCGCCCGGGAGCTATGAGCCATGAAGCCGCCCGGCAGCAGCTCCCGGCGGCCGCCCCGCGCGGGCTCCAGCCGTCCCCGCGCCTCCCGCGGCCCCCGCGGCGGCCCCGCCGGCCCGGTGCCCGCCCGCGCGCCGCCCTGCCGCCTGCTCCTCGTCCTTCTCCTGCTGCCTCCTCTCGCCACCTCGTCGCGGCCCCGCGCCTGGGGGGCGGCTGCGCCCAGCGGTGGGTATGGCCCCGGTGCCCTTCGCGTTGCCTGCCCGCCGGGCCCCGCGGAGGAGAGCGCAGGGCGCGCGGGTCCGTGCGCCCCGGACACGTCCCGGGCTCGGCCTCTCCCAGCCGCCCGCCTGCCTCCCCACCTCTCCCTCCCGAGCCCCCCGTGCGTTCCAGTTCACTTTCTGAAGTCCATTTCTGTTGCATTCACCAAAAACCCCATCCCAACGACTGTCGGTTCCACTGGGAGGTATTTAGTGGATGCGGGGACCCTCAGCCATCCCTGCAACTTGGCGGAGGGGAAACCGGCGGACGGTAAATGCAGACAGGGAGCAAGTTGCTTCTTGGGTGGAGAGGCTGAATGCGAATGCGGGAGGATGTGATGATGATGATGATGATGATGATAATAATAATAATAATAATAATAATGATAATGGGGTAACGTGTTGTTTCCTCAAATCGCCTACTGGGTTTATTCGGTGCTGTTGGAATTAGGATGGGGGAGGGCAACTCGGGAGGTAGAAACCTTGGGTTCGTGGTTCTCAAAATGCTAGTCATGATAACGAACAATTAAGATAATACGATATTCAATACATAGATGATGGGAAATCAGTGGAAAGGCAAAGCTGGCCCTGGCAGAAAAATTAAAGGAATTGGAAAGCTGCCAGCATCTGCTTGCCTCTATGGCAAAGGATTTTTGCTCATCTCAAAGTTTAAAGCAAAAGGAATTGCCTGTTTTGTTTAATGAATCAGTTAACAGCCCCTATCCATGCATTCAGCACTCAAGTTCTCTTCGGAGCGTTCTTAGCTCTCAGCTGGGATACTCCTAGTCAGAGTCCCATTGAGCTTCTGCAGACTCAAGAGAAGGGGTGGACATGAGGGTCGGAACCTCTGAGCATGTTCCCTGAATGTCTTCCCTCAAGTCCATGCCGCCCCCCACCCCTACGCCCCATCCTTAGAAGTATGTATTTGAGACTGGTTAGAAATGTTCACGTAAAGCACAAATAATAATAAATAGTACATTATTGTATAAGCCTCATGGGCTGTTAACCTACTCAGGCCATTTCGTTGTTGCGATAACTTGCTTTGCTGTGTCTCTACTTTTTACTTGCTTATGAATAGAAAACTTTGTTTTTGCAATTAATGGGAGCACATAGTACTTTTGTATTTATAGGGTATATGTGTGTATTTGTGTATCTTTGTGCACCCCTCTCCCCCACCCCCAGCTCTGCATTGGAATGAAACTGCAGAAAAAAATTGGGGAGCCCTGGCAGATGAAGACAACACATCACAACAGAATAGCAGTAATATCAGTTACAGCAATGCATTGCAGAAAGAAATCACACTGCCTTCAAGACTCATATACTACATCAACCAAGACTCGGAAAGCCCTTACCATGTTCTTGACACAAAGACAAGACACCAGCAAAAACACAACAAGGTAGGCAAGGTGGGTCTGGGTATGCAGAGGTGGCTGCCTTGAGGAGTTTTCCTTTGCTTTGATTTTCTGCCAGAATCTGATCTCACAAATTTTACTGCAGCACTTTATTAGGAAATCAATTAATATTATGATAGAGGAGAAATTGGAGGAAGTAAACCTGAGATCTCCTGAGATAGGACTGCTGTTTGGTTTTTTTTCTCTCTGACTCTCATGTGGAATCTGCATTTTCTTACGGCTTTTTAAATTCTGAAATGTGGTCCATCCGTCTCTCAGGTGCATTGAGCACTGAGCAGGAGTTAAGTGAGCATGTTGATGGTCCTGACTTCTATCTTGGAGGCTTTATATAAGGGTGCAGTGTTCTACCTCCTGTGATGAAAACTGCTTTCCAGCTGCACACAGAAGATGGCTATAACAGGGTATTTGCAGATTCCCTATCCGTCCTTCACGTAGAAATTGAGGGTTAAAATTTAATTTTAAGTTTCTTGCAATGATCAATAGGAAGGAATACTTTTTGTCTGAAGTATTTTCAGTAGGCAAACAATTTGACATTTTAAAAGATTACGGCGACTATAAACAAACTGTTTATATAATATAGGGTCCAGTTTGGGCCAGCATAGTCTTTCAAGACTTTATCTATATTCATTGCAAGTGGTTGCTTTACTTTCAAGTTGGTTCAGAAAGTGGCACTGATTTTTGAAAAGGCATTCAATAGAAGATAAAGGGGCTTAATGTTCGAAGAGTTGGAAGGATCTTTTCTTCTTGCTTACTGTTCTTTATTTGAGTTAGTAATATTTTGGATGCCAGGCGGATTTACACAGTGGGTCAGTCATCAGTACCTCTGTTCTTTATCATGAGCAAAGAATAGAGTCTGTATGTCAAGTATTTTACTCCGGACTATAGCTGTTCAATGGAGAAAAGTAGTCACTGTCTAACATCTAGAATTTAAGAACTATATCTGTGGCCTATATCATTGTTTTTATTAGTTTTCTAAACTATAGGTAAATGGTAATGGTATTTATTCCTGTTTTACAAACAGGGAGTTAGAAATTTAAGGCTTTCGGGTGATAGCTAATATAAACTTCAAACTAATACAAACAGCTAATATAAACTTCAAGAAGCCTGAACACTTCATTTTTATTATTTTTTTACAAGTCAGTTTTCTGAGAAAATGCTTCCTTTGTATTGAATATTATTGGAGCAGCTAATTTTGTTTTACAGTGTTATGAAGTGGCTGTTACCCACTTTGACTGAGACGGGTAGGACTCTGTTCTCGCAGCCCTGTGACATCTGCTCCTATGTAACTTCATGAGTTGACTCCTGGATCCTGTCTGCCCATTTATCTTGTTGATAGGAGGAGTGGGTGGTGACTTCAAGGAAGAAGAATCCAAGGCCTCTTGATTAATGCATTGGGACCCATTTTATGGCTTTCCTAATTAACGAGACCTTCTACGGTTGAGTGGCAGGTTCTCAAACTCCAGTGCCTTTGGATAGGGGGCTGGAGGAATAAAAACAAAACAAAACAAAACCAAAAACTACCTTAAAGCCTATTTCAATTTTAGTATATGTGCTGTGCCAAAGTGAGCACCCTTAAAGCTATTTCAAAGAATACTGAAACCCTCCGGAGCTGAGACTTAAAAAATATTCAGTGCAATATTTTTATAACTCAAATTTTGGAGGCAATGGCCGATGCCTGTCTTCTGGTCTGATGTTATGTGGTTGTTTTGTTGGATGGGACATGGTTTGACTGCTCTATGTCTTAATTTTTATAATAAGATTTGTTAAACCTTCTCCTGCCACTCATGTAGACTTCTTACTATGGAACACAAACTCACAGTTGGAATGATTCTTCTCCATTTCCACCCTCCATGGTGGTGGTGGGTGTACTCTTACTTTAGAAAAAAAATCCTTACACAGAAATTATATTTGAGAGCATTTTTCTCCTTTTTGTATTAGTTTAATCGAACAAACATTTGTTGCACATCTCTCCTGTGCAAAGGAGTATGCTAAGGATTCAGAGATAAGAGATAAGGAGTACAAGGATGAACAAGACATGGTCTGTCCTCCAGGAGACACAGAAATGAGATAAGCAAGGTTCTAAAAAGTGTCCTACACAGGTGTAAACTGTGTCTTGTATTGTGAATTCCCTGAAACTTCCCTTTGTGTTCTATAATTTCCCTTTTATTTCTGTTTTCTTTTTTTAGATTTTTAATTTATTTATGCATGAGAGACAGAGAGAGAGAGAGAGAGAGAGAGAGAGAGGGGCAGAGACACAGGCAGAGGGAGAAGCAGGCTCTATGCAGGGAGCCTGATGTGGGACTCTATCCTGGTCTTCAGGATCAGTCCCTGGGCCAAAGGTGGCACTAAACCGCTGAGCCACCAGGGCTGCCCCCTTTTATTTCTGTTTTTAACCATCTCTTGAACTAGTTGACAAAAAGTGTGCCATATGTTTTCTGCTGTATCTTAGGATGACTTGCCTAATAATAGTGATGAGAGATACTTGTCATTTTAGCTGCTTTACAAATGTTTCAGTAAGAGAAAACCTATAGAATTTCATCATTCTTGCTCTTATAAAAGAGGTTTTGATTTTAATATCTGTGTATTAGGTACCTTTTTTTTCTCTCCTGATTTCATTGCACTCAAGCACATTTTAATGAATGCCTTAGAAATGCTGAATCACTGTGCCATTCTCATGGATCCTTAGATTGGGGATAGAGGTGGAGAGGGAAGTTCCCAGATATAGGTTGCAAGGCAGGGCTTTGTATTATTTCATAAATATTCAGTGTTGATCAGTCCTTATTACTTTACAACTATAAAAGTGAAAATGCTATTAACTCTTTCAAAATTTGTAAGTAAAAACAGACTGTGCAAAACACCTCATTAATGCCAGTGTTCCTGAAAACCTGGAAGTTCTCTTTGTCAGAGATTGTTGAGGATCCTTTTTATCTCCAGATAGGGTGATGTATAACTTATCGTCCAAATTGCCATTTTTGAGAGTGACTGTGAGCATGCTTAATAATCTTGCTAGGATAATAAGCATAGACTGAGATGGTCCAGAGTAGATGGGGACCTGTGGCCACCTCAGATCTAAACGATTATGCTCCTTAAGTTTTGGTGCTTATCCCAATTCAAGTTTCTTCACAGACCCAGTTTTATTTTTCTGATGAATTATTGTAAATTTTTTCTTACTTGCTAGGAAGTCAATTTGCCGCCTTGTAGAAGTATCAGGATATGAAATGGAAAAATTTAGTTTTGTTTTGTTACCAATACTTGTCTTTTTTATGTGTGGAGACTTTTACAAGCAAAAATGGAAATTTATAGTTACTAAACAGAAGCATTTTATGAACCACTAATGGCATATTTAATGAAATGGGCCATACATTTAAAAAGAGAAATAATTTAGATTTATTCATTCACATTCATTCATTCATTCTGAGATAATCCTATGAGGTCTGTTCCTAAGAAAGTAATGAACCTGTAGGGGAGGAAAAATAATTTTCCTTCTACCCTTCTAAATTCTTGGCGGAGTCACATCCTCTAATAAAAGACAGTTCAACAGGATGGAAACAAATGGAAGTTTTATACCATGTGTACATCTTATATATATGGGAGAGACGCAGGAAAACTGAGTATGTCTCCAGAATGGCCCAAGTCACTACTTTAGATAACATCTCCAGCTAAAGATGAAAGATGTTGGGGTGGAAGGTGGGGATCCAGTTGTGGGAAGCTGTCAGAAAAAGCACAGTAAGCAATGGTAAGGTAAATTTTTGCCTTCTTTATTGATGAGAGTTTCTAGACTTTTCAAATCATTGTCTTCCTGATAGAAAGATAGAGAGAGAGAGAGAGAGAGAGAGACCCTTACAGATGGAAATTTCTTATAAAATGTAAATGACTCTTACAGAAGGACTTCTACTCCGATTTTCAGAACTTCTCCTGTGTCTGCTGTTTCTTAGAAATAATCAGCCTAAAATAATCCTTTTGCCAAAGAAGCATATTTTAAGATGGTATATTCTCTCCCCCTCAAACCTTTTCCTGAAACTTCCCTTTAGTCAAAAATTACTTGCTCTGGATCCTACTCCTTTAGGATTCTTTTCTCTTCCTGTTGGGAAGGGATGGAAGAGGTACGCTCTGCCTAGCAGGGGATCTAAGAAAGATGAGAGTCATCTCTTTTATTTTTTGTTGGCCTGCACACAGCTCAGTCTTTTGTGACCTTCCCTACTGTGATGGGGAGCCAGAGCTGTGTATGGAAATAAGAATATGCACATTATAACCTGCTGAATGAGGGGGTACAAATCACCTGTGTAGGGGTTGGCAGGTAGCTCCCCCAGCACCTGAGCGGTCCTCCATCCCAGGTCGTGGGTGAGCAGGAGTTAGAGAGCAGAATAGCAAGCACCTATTGATTATGAGGTGGTTGAGGCCAAGGTTACTAACTTTTCGAGGTCTTAACTCCTAAGTGGTTATTTTAAAGATGTTTGTTTATTTATTTCAAAAAATTAATTTATTTATTTTAGAAAGAGAGAGAGAGTGAGTGTGGGGGGCAGAGGGAGAGGGACATAGAAGCTTAAGCAGACTTCTTGATGAGCACAGAGCCAACTTGGGGCTCGATCTCATGACCCTGACATCATGATCTGAACTGAAACCAAGAGTGGGACACCCAACCAACTGAGCCACTGAGATGCCATGAATGATTTTTATTAAGTAATCTCTACACCCAATGGGGGGCTTGAATTCACAACCTCTAGATCAAGAGTCATATGCTCCACTGACTGAGCTAACTGGGCACCCCCTGAGTGGTTATTTTAAAGGGTGCTCTGGGAAAAGCAAAACAGGAACTTAGCATGGGAATCCTAAAATCAAGTTCCTGAAGAAACGTCCAGACTCTGGGTGTGAGCAAGGTTATTATGCTGTACAATGCCTGGGTAGCAACTCAGAAACAACAAAAAAAGTTGTTGTTCTCATCACAATTGACTCTATGATGCTTAGGTATTAATCTTTAGGGAAAA